TGGAGGGGTCCCCACCCCGCCCCTGCCACCTCCCCCGTGCCTGGGGTCCCCACAGCCAGCCCCTCCCTGGCCTGGGGACAGACCTGTCCCTGCCACCACGCACTGGCCCCTGCCAGCCCTGACGGCAGAAAGGCCCCAGCACCCACCCGACTGCCCCCCCGCCCAAGTCCCCAGCATGACTGACCCCCTCCCCAGCAGTGTGTTTGTGGGGGCAGGTGTGCATACACACACACACGCACACACATGGATGTGCGCACACATAGGTGCATATGCACACACACACATGTCTCTAGTGGGTTATGGAATAGAGAAAATCCCACACAACTTCCTGATTCATTTAATGCACTGGCTGGGGACATTTTTTAGCTACTTGCACGATTTCACAATGATTACACACTTAATTCATAAAACACAATTTTATTTTTAAATTCTTTGCTACACATATTACACTGCTTAGCATTAAGAAATACCACAAACATGAAGAACACAATAACTACATGTATCAGAAACAATGCTCCAATGCACTTCCTTCCCAAACAACTACAATTACAACTAAAAGTTACATTTGAATCAATACTATTCTTTTTCATAATATACTTACAATCCTAGAATTCCGAGAAACCAAATCCCCAGGTCTACCTTCATTCTTTAGTTATGGTTTAGGGTTGGTCTCAGCAGTGATAGGAACAAGTCCCCTTCTTTCAGTCCCTGTCAGGCGCTCCGCGGCTTCAGATTGGCGTTCACGGAGAGGGTGGTTCAGGTGATCGGTCTGATCCGGCCTACACTTGCAATTCTTCCTTCCTTGTTCTGCAAGTGAGGTCACCTCCAAATTGGGACAGTAGGTTACAGTTTTTATTGAGTGAGTTGCTGTCTTGGGCCCTTCCCACCCAAACCTGTCACTACTCCCAAATTTGGGCTCGGATAATTCTTAACAGCTTTTTGCTTGGTTCAGTTTCTTTTGTTGACTATTTTAATTACTTTGGGGAATTTCCATATCACTGAATTGACTTTTATTTCTAATCTTGTCAAAGGCCCTAGGGTTTGATCTCTCGGGATGTTTGCTTAAGGGTCATTTTTAGGTTAACTTTGTTAAAGGCCTCTAAAGATAAAATTCAAGAGTTAAAACTTTGAGCAAAGTCAGGACCTTCCACATGTAGACCAAAACAATGGCCTAGATAAGAAGATGAATCTTGTCTTCTTCCTGAACTGACTAATGGGCAACTATTACAAACATTCAAACTATTATATTCAATATGACAACACACACACCCCGGTTGTACAGAGACCACAGAAACACTGTTGAATGCCCACTCTCCCACCCCACAACTACAGAGCTATAAATAAAAGCAGTTCTAAAATGCCCCCTTCAAAATCTTCGCCCTCCCCAAAATCTCTGTCTTCCTCCGCTGCGCCCCGAGTCCAAGCACAGCAGAGTGTCCCTCTTCTGCAGTTTGACCCAGAAAGGGATCACTGCTGAAACCTCCCATGGGAGATTTCCCCAAGCCTTCTCTGGGCCCTCCCATGCGCTCGGTGCGGCTGAATACCCATGGGCGGTTCTGCCTGTCGCGGTGCTGGACGCAGGGTTGGGGTCGCTGCACTGGCAGTCCTCAAGCGAGGCACAGCCGGAGAGCAATTGAAACATTAATGGCTGCAAGCCTGACATGTTGCAACGTGGTCCATGTTTCCTACCCTATACTTCCATGCTTTCCCCTATTACCATATGCCAAAGCCTCCCAAGCCGGCAAACTTACCACTGGCTGCACTTCTGCCTCTGGCTCCAGGTCCTGATGTTGTGGCGGACGGGGGGAGACCTGGGGTGGGAGCAGTGGAGGGAAGTTGGAGTGGGGAGTAAAAAGAGGTTCAGACTAAGGTATTGGGCAGGGGGAGGGAGCTTTTGGGGTGGGGCAGTGGGTGGTGGAAGCATCACTGCTGAGACTGTCAGTACGGGAGGGGGAAAAGGGTGTTAAGAAAAGTGGGTTGAGAATACGGGGTAGGAGGGGGATGGAGACTGGGATGGCGATACTTGGGCCTCCTTGCTGGACCCGAGGTCCTTGGCTGCCTGCAATCCGTGGCTGGGACTCCCACACGTCCGCTGGGTCGGGGCCTGGATGCGTCTCAGCTGTTCGACCAAGAACGGCTGCTCCGAGTCCCTCAGAGGAGAAGGTTAAAGTAGCCCAGGGACCTTTGGGGACCCATTGAGCTCCTGTGAGGCACTAAGTGCTTGGAGCAGAGCCCACCCCACTGGGCAGCAGGATCCAGCTTGTTCGCACTGGGCTTGGCACCGCAGTCGTGGGGGCAGCCATGCTCCGCCATCCCTGCACCCCAAATCCTTGTGCACGCACAGCACAATAGTTGGCTACTCGAGTTGTGCAAAACAGCACCATTTCGCTTCGACTTCTGTTTTGACATTTCGACAGAAAAGTATTTCATTTCAAGTTTAGTTTAGTTCTGAAAGCACTGTTCCATTGTGTTTTGTCAAACCAGTGTCGCTGTTTCGACCTCTGGCCCATTGCCTAGAATGGGGAAGCACCAAACTGGAGGAGGAGCAACCTCCGGTGATCCCAGGCAGATCGGGGTCCACACCCGGGGGAGCAGTCTGGCAGAGCCCTGCAGATCTCCCCGGGGTGCGGGTGGGAGGCTGTCACTGCCGCCTGGGACCGGTGCCAGGCGCCGAGCCCATGGAGGGAGGTGGAGCACAGCCCCGGCGCTGTGCTCTGTTTCCCCTCACCAGGCTCAGTCCCACGGGGCTGCAAGCAGCTGGGACCCGTGCCCGGTGCAGGGAGGGCAGAGTGCAGCCCCCCGGCATAGCGCAGCCTCCCCACCCTGGGCTCGGGTCCCAGCCTTTTGCAGGCTGGTGGAGGGAGGTGGGGTGCAGCCCTGGGGCTATGCTCTGCCTCCCTGCCCCAGGCTCAGCACCCAGGAGCTCGCAGCCCCGTGGAAGTCAGCCGTGGCAGGAGGTGGAGCACAGCCTTGCTTCTACCCACCTCCCGCCACCCGACTTTGCTCCATGGGGCTGGTGGTGCCCTGTGGTGGGAGGCAGGGAGAGCCAGGGCTGCGCTCCCCACGGCGCTGAGCCACGTGGGGCTGCAGAGCCACTCCGAGCACAGCCCTGGCTCTCCCTGCTCCCCACCTCCTGGCTGCTGCTTCCAAACTCAGAAGGTTTCAAAACTTTCAAAATATTTCGAATGGCCTCGTTTTGTTTCAAGGATGGGGTTTAGTTTGTGACAGCGCAAGCTCATTTAAATCACCAAAAACTCATGTACGTGTAAAGTGTGATGCCATTAAGCCACACAAAGGGAAATTTTCATCACGTACACATTGTCTGGGCGTCATGTGTACAAGCGCCCCTGTGCTGATCTAGAGGCTGCGCTCCTAAAAAAGCACAGCATGA